TAAGATATCGATTTTGAATTCTCTCGGAAGTAGTTGTAGGTAACCTCATCTTGTTTTGCGTCATCAGCAAATATGCCTAAACCGTCGAGTTCAAACATGTTTTGTAAGATGACCGCCTCAGATTTTTCGTTTACGAGCGTTAATCCATACATTATTGGAGATTCGGCGACTTTTGAATTGGGTTCAGTTCCTCGCCCGTGAATTGCGGGGCCGAAAATGGTCCTCGCAATATGTAATCCCGACGGTAGGATCGAAGTGTTTTGCGTCGCAAGCATAAAACTATAGTAGTAATCTAATCCGACCAATATATGTGGATTCTGGATTTCCCCTTGAACTCTTGGATTGCATAAGTAGATTTCCTTATGTTGCAAGAACATTTTATCGTCAGCTGTTAACTTGACAGACGGGAAACCGTTGGTTATGATTGGTTTTGTTTGAATGTCGAAACTCAATTCGTCGCTAAATGCTGACAGAACCTTGATTTGGACGTTATTGCTTTGAAATTTCTCAATGTGTCCGCCGATTCCCGACATAGTACACAATTCTGCACCTTTACGCGGTAGTCCAAGTTTTGCAGCGATCTGCTCTTGAATGAGCGTTTTTTGTGCTCCTGTATCGAAAAAGAACAAGACTTTTTCGTATTGGCAAGTATTGTAATTCCAAATATTGCCTTCTGCCGTCATGAGCACAATTTGTTCTTTTGTTCGTGAATTTTCGAGTTTTGGCGGCGTTTCCTCATTTTGTAGTACGTCGGTGGTGTGAATATTAGCTTGGTTAGGTCCCCACCGTGGCTCATTTGGCCTATTGCGCAATGAATTGTTCGCAAATCTCGATTGTGCAGGCGTACGCCTGTTTTGATGCTGATTGTTGTTAGCCGGGTTATACGGCCCATTGTTGTTTCTAGTTCTGATACATAAACTAGTGTTGTGTGCTTGATTGCATACTGAGCAGTTTGCCCAGGAGCACTGGAAGCTATTGTGATTGTCTGCTAGACATTTCCAGCAAAGTTTCTTTGCTAAAACCACTTTTCTCTTGGCGTGTGCATCAGTTGCTTTGCAAAGTGTGCCTAAATGATCTCTATTGCAAAATATACATTGTCGTACTTTGCTTCTGGTATCTTCTTTGTGATGAAAATCCTGAGGTTTTGGTGGTTCTCTTCCACGGTTTCTCAGTCTGGAATCTACAAACATTTTTGCCGGGATTTCCTTACCGAATTCCTTCATCAAATTCTCTATTGTGACCGATCCTTTTTGCTGAACGGTTTTGAGCACGCTTTTTACAATATTTTGTGGAAATTTTTCTATAATTTTTTCCGTCCAAAGGGCATCGCTACTTTGCCGGATGTCTTGGCCGGCGGATACCATTTGATTGATGAGGACACGAATTTTGTCGTATCTGTTCATGCAATGCAACTCTCCGCGGAGCCATTTGCAGGTAGCATATCCTCTAATTTTTGCACGATTCTTGTGCGATTTATCGGTTTATTACCGTATTTCCTTTTGAGTTCCTCAGTCATCCATGTATAATTCTGTGGAATTAGTTGTATACCTTTCACAGTTAGCTCAGCCCTTCCTCTGAGGCTGTCTTTAAGAAAGAACATTTTTTCTACTGTGGTCAAACTTTTGTTTTGATCCACTAATGTGTTAAAGATTCCCCAAAATTCGGGAAATTCTTCTTCATCTCCATAAAAGCGTGGTAGCTTCATTTGATGGAGTTTCAAACTTTGACAGGCCATTTCGTTACCATCTGTCGCCATTCGGCTGTCGTCAGAACTGTCCTCTGTAAGCCAGGCAGCTTCTGTTGGATTAATTACCTCATCAGTGCTTTTACTCTGTGTAGATCTTCCAGGATCCGATAATATTTCGGTCTGGGATAGATTGCTGGTTATACCCAGCTTTCTCGCCATTTTCTCGGCGTAATTCTGCGCTTCTGATAGCCTTTTGGTCAATATGCACACCAATTCGGTGGCGTTGGCCATATGCTCGATAAAGTTTGTCTCGATTTCTATGTCTTCCAGATTTTTATCTGCATCTCTTTTATCGAGCTTTCGGGCTTCTGTGCGAGCTCGCAGCAGTTGGTCTATTAAAGACTGTAGCGAATCCTTGCTGATTTGGATGGCGTTTATGGCACCCTTTATGCTGTTACATGTTTCGTGGCACGCTTCATAGTTGTCCTCAAATGAAGCGTTCAGTTGCATTTCCTTCGCATATGGTGTGAATTTATCCACAAATGATTGAAGGGATTCTATGCCGCGAGTAATGGCTTTTTTATGTGTAAACATCGACATTGCGAGGCGTTGTCGTAGTTCAATTCCACAAAGGATAGAACTGTTGATGCGCTGCTTACCGCAGGGCTAGGTATTGGCTCAGAAATTTGGCCGATGCACCAGAATTGTGCCACTATAGGGCAACTTATAACTGGGAGATAACACAACACGTCGCTGTGAACGTTTATTGTGACACTGAGGAAGCTTACAACAGAAAAGCCCCGTTGACCCCCGAATCCGCCCGCTTTACTGCGGGATGATTTATGTATAGGTCGGTTCGGCCACAATACGTAGCAAATGGCCGAACAGGCCATGCTTTGCCCGTGTTGCCAATGCTTCCAGTGTTCTCGTGTTGCCGATGTTTCCAGTGTTACTCGTTACTCGTGTTGCCGATATTACAATGTTACCGAAAAATGAAACTGTACTGGCGATCATTTTGAGAATTAACAGCAATAAAGGCGGTAACACTAGAAACACGAGTAACACTGGAAACATCGGCAACACGGGCAAAGTATGGCTAAAGCCTTAAACTGGCATTCCTACATTAAAGCAGAGTCTTCAGTTCCTGCAGTTTACGAGTAGGTATAGACAGAACAGCATGTGAGTTATGAATTGCATGGGAAAACTAGGCAGGATTTGCAAAAAGAGGGTTCGCGGATGATGAAAATATAGTCATTTTGTCAAATCCTCATACAACCACTCAAATAGCAGATTAACGCCAAATGCTAGCTGTCAGCTACATTTATCGGAAATTTTCGTGGTTAATGAAACTTTTCTGAAGTTTGTCTGCTTTCAGTGTACGCGGCGGTTTTCTTGTGGCGTCTTTCGTGGGTGTGTGAGTGCAAGTGCACGCGGTACGCTGACGACGAAACTCGTCCGAAACTGCGACGCGACTGGACAGGTCAACTGCTCGTTTTGGCGCGGCAGCCAATCACAGCGTGACCCCGGCAGCGGGCTGACCTATCACTATCATCGCGATTAGAGCGGGTTCAGAAAGGCCTACACCCATGTAGGAGCCCTGTATCATTTTCGTGCTTGTCAAATAACCCCCATGTGCCACATTTGGAATCTGAGATTGTGAAGGTTTTGTCCTTCAATTGTATAAAACGCAATAAATCCACCTTGGTTTCCCTGCTTCTTTCGGATTCACTTAGTGGCCTCTTTCTCGCGCAAACCGTAAAACGAGGGTTCCCGTAAAACGATTGTTTATCTCTTGCTGTGTCATCTCCGAAATTTCCTGTGTAACTTAAGAGGGGATAAGACACTGAAATCACTACGTAATATATAACGAATTCGTTGATTACGCAATAATCCTCTGATAGTTGGATTATGGCAAACGAGGAGGGCGCAGACGTAAAAATTATGATGAAATACACTGATCTTTGGAATTGGATCGCTGCCAAGTGGCATGCGTTTTGGAACGCTGCCAAATTTCATGACGAGTGACCAAGCATATTTTCGTAAAAGGGTCGCGCGTATTTCGAAAGGCAATCATGAGTGTTGCAATGAATTTGAGACTGGGTCGGCAGTGTCCGGGTGTATTATTTGTATTACCTGCTTTTTTTCGAGCTTGTTATCCCAGAATGTGTCTTCCAGATATGTTGTACTCCTATCAGTTGCTTTTGAAATGATGCCAAATGGCATGTCTTGAGCTGAATTCAGCTATGTTCTCAACTCTTGGTAAAAATGCTCTAACCAAGAACAGTCACTTTAAGATTATCTTGCTTCCGCGTGTAGACAAGAGGGTGCGTGAGTAACTTCTCGCTGATACTTTTGGAAGTGTTTATCTAACAATAGCCTTGCTTTTGCTTGTGTAACTGAGTCCCGCTGGTGCTTTCAACCAGGTAACGGGGTGTAAGGGGGACGTGGGGCAATTCCATCGGGCAGGGAAACAGATTTTTCTATGTTTGGGGCAGTTCTCAAAAAGAAAGCCAAAGTGGCATGTACGGCAATTTACGCTGATTACTTGATTTCGTTGTTTTCTTTCTGTAGGGTCGTAAGATCGGTTTTTCTCACATATACGGTATTCAAGCGACACATAGGGCATAATTTTTCTTTATGAATAGTTACTATCGGTTTGTAAGCGGCACGTAGGGCAACTCGATCGGGCTGGGAAACAGATTTTTGTGGGTTTGGGGCAATTCTTTTGATTTTTAAACGGTCTTCGAGCGGCTTGGGGCATGAACTATCTATTAAATTAGTTCCTGAAAAAAATTCTTTGGAGTTAAAAAGATCTTATGCGTGCTGTTGCACAGCTTAAGCCTATCTTTAAATGGTAATCAAAGTGGGAAAGTTTCAAAAAAATTTCGGCAAAGAATGCGGACCGATAACTACTTTCCTCTTTTTTCCAGCCTTAAAAAGTACTTATTTTGCTCTTTTGAAAAGAGTATTGCAGTTACTGTAGAATGCTTGCGCACTGAGGAGGATGTAATCAAACTGTATCACTTTGTGCAAAGTTGGTATCTTTTCGCCAAAGTTTATCAGTGATAAAAGAGTTTTATCAATACTTGAGTAAATGAAGGTATATCTCTACTAAACTTGGTCTGGAACTAGTAAATAGACATAGAAGACGCTCTGCGAGTTCTTTTCTCGAGAAGATCTCCGGTGGTCTGCCATATGTTTGCAGTGTCACCGACCAATTGCTGATCAACTATAGCGGAAGTGATCAAAGTGATCATAAGATGTCGAAAATCATCAGTGTGTTGAAGTTTTGTACATGTGTTACACATTTCAGCGCCCTACTGTGCTCAAGTTCCTGCAAGTCTAATGTGCAGTGGTGGTCGAGTGGATAAGAGGTCAGCTTTATGGGCGAACGATTGCGTGATCGAATCCTGCTACTTGAAGTATTTTTGCATCGTGTTGAGATCTGTGTCATTTGCATAACCACAAACATTTTCGAATAAAGCACCGACTCTCATACACACCATATTAACATTCAATAATGAAATGCAAATTTGGAGAACACATGGGGATTTGGACTCAAACTTCATTTTCTCCTTGGTCAGGAATCTTGCTACTGCGCCATCGCGTCACTGACGTGCGAAACCTACGAAGTTATCATAATATGTTTGATATCACATATGACCAAACTGTGAAGCTTGTTTGTTGAAATAGCGTTCAATCTAAGTCGAACTTTTCATCGAAAAGACTGTGAAAAGGAAAATCCCACAATTCTGGCCTTATAAATTCGGTTGCAATTGCGTAACATTTCAAATTTCAGCATTTATTTAAGAGCAACTGTTGCTAAAAGACTGTAAGCTGGCTGGCAGAAAAAAAGAGGCTAAAATTCTGATTTCATATGTACTAGAGTAGATCATCACTTTAATATTAGACTAATGGTGTTTCAATGCTGCTTCTTTTAAATCGGCTCCAGGAGTTGTACCTGCTATCCACAGACATTTATCAGACCAAAACTCTCTAAACAGATTTTGGGTGAAAGAGTTCATACACATCAAAATCGCTGTGCATGTTTCTGAAACTCATCCTTTCCAAGCGACTGCAAGATAATCGTGGTGGTTAATCGCAATCTTGTCTTTGATAGGCACCGAGAGGTCTATCGATTAATTGCCAGCGGTAGTCTTATCCATGTGCCACCAACGCTGATGAAACAGCAGAAGTCATCAAAACATATCTAGGCGTTTCGGATCTCAACATCCCATGTAAGAAATAGCACTTGACAAACAACGAAGGTTGATGGTTGATTGGATATGATATCGGTCCTATGAGCGCATGCGTTCGGGTTCAAGTCCTGCTACTTGAACACATTTTTGCACCTTTATAGAAAGAAGGTATTAATTCGCGTTTGCATAACCTGAAAGCTTCTTCAAGTCAACTAGCAGAGCTTTTGCAATAATTTCGTAATCATTTTTGAAATGCAAATTTGACAAGCGCGTAAGGATTCGAACTTTCAAGTGTACCATCTTACCAATCGCGACTCCTGCTACTGCGCCATGCGTGTCACTTAATATGCAGGATCTGAAGACTATTGAAATCTCTTCCTGGTATATATCTCTTGAATCATGGTGCGCATTTAGCATTTGTTGTTGTTTTGTTTTACACGCAAACTTTACAGGTTTGAAAACCTGAATACAACATGAAACGTAATTAGCATTTCCACATAGTTCACAATTGCACTGAAGATCAAATTTGATAAATCTATATCAAATACTGGAGAAATACTATAATGGAGAAATTAATGTTTACTAGATTATTTCCACCTCATTATTGAGGTAATTGATGCTGCGCGGCGGTTCCTTTCATGGCTGCCTATGATAACGTATCGCGGATATACAGGAAGATACCAGATTTCAGCTTACCTACGATAAGCTATCTGCGGCAACATGTCATAGAATAAAGAAGAAGTATTCTGATAGCATATCATAGAATATAGGAAGGATGGTATAAATAGACATTTTGCAGCACAATCATCCTGTAAGATATTGCTTTTTAGCTCACTCTTGTTCGTCATCTTCCCATTTTTGACCCTCGAAGTGCTTTCAATGTTTTGTATGTAAAACTTTTATTCTCCTATAATGCAACTTTCACAATCCTCTCTCATTCAGCTTAGAGAGTTCTGCAACTAATGTACTATGTCACATACCTTCCTCGGCTTATTTGGACTCCATTGTTAAACATAAACATCTATTGAGCCAATGAGTGGCAAGAAAAAAAATAAAATTATCATTTTCATTCAAAGTTCTCTTAGAACAAAGTGAAAATAATAGATTTTTCGCACAAATCCTCTTAAACCACACTACAACGCCTTTCGTAACAGATTTAACAGAGCAGCAAATAAAATTATCATTTTCATTCAAAGTTCTCTTAGAATAAAGAGAAAATAATAGATTTTTCGCACAAATCCTCTTAAACCACACTACAACGCCTTTCGTAACAGATTTAACAGAGTAACAAATAAAATTATCATTTTCATTCAAAGTTCTCTTAGAATAAAGAGAAAATAATAGATTTTTCGCACAAATCCTCTTAAACCACACTACAACGCCTTTCGTAACAGATTTTTTGGGAAGCAACGAATTTGGCAACACCCGCAGGGTAAAACTCGTATATATTCATAACAGAGTGAATTTATGGTCTGTTTCTTTAAATTTTTACTCTGACCTTCGCTTTTTTGCCAAAACAAATACTTATATGCTGAAACCGTACACATGCATCGGGAGTTGAATTTTCGTGTCCTCTTCTTGTGATCTAATAAGTACTAATGTAAAAATACTATTTGCTTAAAGACAGCGTTAAAGCGCCTGTATTTTGATTCCATTAATGATATTCATTTACGAAATTCTTCATTTATTCATCGATTTTATCGATTTTTTGAGCATTTCTAGCCAGAAAGCTGAGAGTTGGTAGAGGGGGGTAAGACTGTATCTTGATTCCATTAATGATATTCATTTACGAAATTCTTCATTTATTCATCGATTTTATCGATTTTTTAAGCATTTCTGACCTGAAAGCTGAGAATTGGTACAGGGGGGTATGACTGTATCTTGATTCTAGTAATGATATTCGTTTATGAGATTCTTCATTTATTCATCGATTTTATCGATTTTTTGAGCATTTCTAGCCAGAAAGCTGAGAGTTGGTAGAGGGGGGTATGACTGTATCTTGATTCTAGTAATGATATTCATTTATGAGATTCTTCATTTATTCATCGATTTTATTGATTTTTTGAGCATTTCTGACCAGAAAGCTGAGAGTTGGTACAGGGGGGATAAGACTGGATCTTGAATCTAGTAATGACATTCATTTATGAGATTCTTCATTTATTCATCGATTTTATCGATTTTTTGAGCATTTCTAGCCAGAAAGCTGTGAGTTGGTACAGGGGGGTAAAACTGAATCCTGATTCCAGTAATGATATTCATTTATGAGATTCTTCATTTATTCATCGATTTTATCGCTTTTTTGAGCATTTCTAGCCAGAAAGCTGAGAGTTGGTAGAGAGGGGTATGACTGTATCTTGATTCTAGTAATGATATTCATTTACGAGATTCTTCATTTATAAATCGATTATATTGATTTTTTGAGCATTTCTGACCAGAAAGCTGTGAGTTGGTACAGGGGGGTAAAACTGAATCTTGATTCCAGTAATGATATTCATTTATGAGATTCTTCATTTATTCATCGATTTTATCGATTTTTTGAGCATTTCTGACCTGAAAGCTGAGAATTGGTACAGGGGGGTATGACTGTATCGTGATTCTAGTAATGACATTCATTTATGAGATTCTTCTTTTATTCATCGATTTTCTTGATTTTTTGAGCATTTCTAGCCAGAAAGCTGAGAGTTGGTACAGGGGGTATGACTGAATCTTGATTCCAGTAATGATATTCATTTATGAGATTCTTCATTTATTCATCGATTTTATCGATTTTTTGAGCATTTCTGACCTGAAAGCTGAGAATTGGTACAGGGGGGTATGACTGTATCTTGATTCTAGTAATGATATTCGTTTATGAGATTCTTCATTTATTCATCGATTTTATCGATTTTTTGAGCATTTCTGACCTGAAAGCTGAGAGTTGGTAGAGGGGGGTATGACTGTATCTTGATTCTAGTAATGATATTCATTTATGAGATTCTTCATTTATTCATCGAATTTATTGATTTTTTGAGCATTTCTGACCAGAAAGCTGAGAGTTGGTACAGGGGGTATGACTGAATCTTGATTCCAGTAATGATATTCATTTATGAGATTCTTCATTTATTCATCGATTTTATCGATTTTTTGAGCATTTCTGACCTGAAAGCTGAGAATTGGTACAGGGGGGTATGACTGTATCTTGATTCTAGTAATGATATTCGTTTATGAGATTCTTCATTTATTCATCGATTTTATCGATTTTTTGAGCATTTCTGACCTGAAAGCTGAGAGTTGGTAGAGGGGGGTATGACTGTATCTTGATTCTAGTAATGATATTCATTTATGAGATTCTTCATTTATTCATCGATTTTATTGATTTTTTGAGCATTTCTAGCCAGAAAGCTGAGAGTTGGTACAGGGGGTATGACTGAATCTTGATTCCAGTAATGATATTCATTTATGAGATTCTTCATTTATTCATCGATTTTATCGATTTTTTGAGCATTTCTGACCTGAAAGCTGAGAGTTGGTAGAGGGGGGTATGACTGTATCTTGATTCTAGTAATGATATTCATTTATGAGATTCTTCATTTATTCATCGATTTTATTGATTTTTTGAGCATTTCTGACCAGAAAGCTGAGAGTTGGTACAGGGGGGATAAGACTGGATCTTGAATCTAGTAATGACATTCATTTATGAGATTCTTCATTTATTCATCGATTTTATCGATTTTTGAGCATTTCTAGCCAGAAAGCTGAGAGTTGGTACAGGGGGGTAAAACTGAATCCTGATTCCAGTAATGATATTCATTTATGAGATTCTTCATTTATTCATCGATTTTATCGATTTTTTGAGCATTTCTGACCAGAAAGCTGAGAGTTGGTACAGGGGGGGTAAGACTGTATCATGATTCTAGTAATGACATTCATTTATGAGATTCTTCATTTATTCATCGATTTTATCGATTTTTTGAGCATTTCTGACCTGAAAGCTGAGAATTGGTACAGGGGGGTATGACTGAATCTTGATTCCAGTAATGATATTCATTTATGAGATTCTTCATTTATTCATCGATTTTATTGATTTTTTGAGCATTTCTAGCCAGAAAGCTGAGAATTGGTACAGGGGGGTATGACTGAATCTTGATTGATTCCAGTAATGATATTCATTTATGAGATTCTTCATTTATTCATCGATTTTATCGATTTTTTGAGCATTTCTGACCTGAAAGCTGAGAATTGGTACAGGGGGGTATGACTGTATCGTGATTCTAGTAATGATATTCATTTACGAGATTCTTCATTTATAA